TAAGTTTCTTCTCTCTGCTAGAACAAGACGGTTAATTGTCAAAATGTAACTGCAGTCGTATCACGGCACCAGACTGATACATACCTAAAATTGCTGAAGCATATAGCATTGGCTTGGATAGTAAATACAGTACTTTGAAATTAATACTTTACAAAAGCCAGAAAGAAAAATGCATTTACCTGATTTATGAAAACCTGTTATGTTCATATGCACCTTTTGTTCTACGGTAATACTAAAAAGGAAACATATTAATGAGGAGGAGAAGACTCTAGGAAATTACTCAGTTTATCGTTGGCAGGATACAGTCTGAGATTGCAAAATATATATAACACAAAGAAGTACAAATAACCCTATCTTGCAGGGGGAAAATGGTAGAGGGGGTTTATGGGATGCATTATTATATGGTTATTATCCTGTATGTGGTTATATGGAGGTTATTATATTATAATGGTTCTTTAAACTTCTGGTCTGCATACTCTTTGGCTATAGCACTTCTGCTTCAGCTGTTTGACTTCATTGCATTAAAGAACCTGACAAACCTGCTAAACTGACTCTTTCTCTTCTCTTAATGTGATGTTTGCTCACACAATAAAGAGGTAGAGGAAACCAAAGCTTGATTTGATCTGTAGACTTTTGTAGAAAAGGAAAAAAAAACTGAGTATTTTTTGCACATCACCTCAGTTAATATGTATCATTCAGCTAAGCAAAATGAAGGGTAATTACATCTTTACAAAGGAAACAATCCAAGCTACCATTTCAAATTAAAATCTATATCTGGTCATATTTACATACTTAAAATGGTCTGACAGGGTGTGACTTCATAAATGTCATCATGTCTGACATTGTGGTAAAAGCTCACACACATATGATGGAGAGCAAGGGGAAGCATACTACAACAGTAACTTGTAATGCTTGTAGTTTGGGTTTATTACATTAGCTGACGATCATCATGTTCAACCTGAACAAAAGCTTATCGTTGGAATCACTGCTCGTAATTAATACGCATTCAATAACCCTGAAGGAGAAATGTAGGTTTCACAGGCAAGGCTGCCACATGGTATAAACGTCAAATTACTCTGCGTCCAACAAGACCTGGGAATATTAGAAATGACCAATGATTGGATGTGAGTGTTATGTGTGAACGTGTGTCTGCGTTGTTATTTTCTTTATTTATTATTATTATTATTTTATTCAAATTTTTTTTTTTTTTTTTTTTTTTTTTTTTTTTTCCTGTGGTACGAGTGGGGGCACTAGGGAGGGAAGGCATGATTGAGATGGTGTGTTTTTTTTTTTTTTTTTTTTTTTTTTTTTTTTTTTTTCTTTCCCAGGTTGGGGTCTCAACCGCACCCTCTCCCAAATACATCTCAAGTCTCCGCTAAGTGCGGAGCCCATTCCCCCCGTCCTGCTCTCCCTCCGCTGGCTGGCGTCGGGGCTCACCGGTGCACTGGTGGAGCTGGGGGTGGATGCCCGGGGGACTGCTGGCTCATTCCTGGTGGCCTCTCCACTGGCCCCGGCCGGCCGGGGCTTTGCTGGGGCTCCTGTCTGGGGGTGGGGTGCCCTTGGGGCCTCGGATCCCTGGGGCCTGGGACTGGATCCGCTTCGGGGTGGGGCTGGGTGTTGTTCGGGGATTTTCGGGGTCGGTGCCGGTGCCTTCGCTACGATGCCGGTTCCTGGGCGGTGTTTCTTTCCTATGCCGGTTCTGTGGTATCGGTTCGGGGAGGGGGGGAGCTGCGCGGCATGGTGGGGTGCGGGTCTTGGGTCCTGTTTTGGGCTCCGGTTTTTCCGCTCGCACTTCTCCTCTTGCCTATTTATTTTAATTGTAATTATTAATTAATTTATTTATTTACCTATTTATTTATTTATTTTTTTTTCTCTTCCTCGGTGGGGGGGAGCGGTTGCGGGCGGGTCGGTGTCTGGTGTCCGCTGTCGCATTGTGGGGGCCCCTTTTTTTTTTTTTTTTTTTTTTTTTTTTTCTCTTTTTTTCTTTGGGGGGTTTGGCATGTCTGTTTTCTCGGGGGGCAGGCGGGCCTGCTGGGTGGGGGTCCTGCTGGCGGCGCGCCGCTGGTGTGTGGGGGTCCGGGCGGCTCCGGCGGGGGTAGTGTTGGGGGGCCGGTCTGGGCGGGCTGGCTGCGCTGGCTGGGTATTCGGGTGGGTTTTCCCTCCTGGAGGCATGGCGGGGCTGCTCTGTTCCCACTGATCGCGGCGGGTGGGGCTGCGGGGCGGGTGGGGGCCTGGGGTGGCTATGACCGGCGCGTGGTGGGGGGCCGGGGCGGCGGAGCTGCTCTGGCCGCGTGTCGGGGCCTGGTGCGGGCTGCGGGGGGGGTGGCGGACGTGGCTGGGCTGCTTTGGCATCGTCCGGTGGGGGGGGCGGCGCGGTTCGCTCCGCTCTGGCTTTGTGCTGCCCCTCGGGCTGCTGGGGGGGGTGGTTGCGCCGGCTGCGGTCTGCTCCTCTTGCGGTTCGCTCGTGGCCGGTTCGCGGCGGATGCGCATGGGCCCCGGCCGGGGGCGGGGCCGTCTTAGTGTTTTCCTGGGTGGTGCGGTCGCGGTGGGTGTTGCGGCCGGTCGCCGGGGCTTGGTGCGGGGGGGCGGGGCGTGTTTCGGTGCTCTGTGGGGCTGGGGCGTTTCGGTCGGCGCCGTGGGGGGGCTGGTGTTCGGCGCCCGGCCCTACTTCGGGGTGGCCGGCTGCCGGCGGGGCCCGCGGACTCGTCCCCGCGGCTCCCCGGGGCGCCGGCATGGCGGTGGCTGGGGGGCTTCCTCGTGGCTGTCTCTCCTCCTGCCTTGGTGGGGTCTGATTTCCGGGGCTGGCCCCGCCTTGGTGCCTTCGCTTCTGGGGTCCCCTTGGGCGCCTGGGGCTTTGGGTCTCCCGGCGCTGGACTCAGTGCTCTGGGGGGTGTGCCTCTCCGGCTCTCCACAACCACTATTGAGCATTTTTTTCTATGGTTAAAACTTTACATGCACAAGTTCACCCTCACAAACAACTACAGGTGCTAGGCTTCAGGTACTTAGAGATTCACCTCCAAACAGAAACCCCACATTCATATCTTCAGGTAACACAGAGTACATGTCAGACTTAATAATATTACTTTAGTGATAGTTTCAAGGTGTTTGCTTTATTGTATATCTCGTACCATGTTTTTTGGTTGTGCTGTTCTTTTTTCTTTTTTTTTTTTTTTTTTTTTTTTTTTTCTCCATCTCATTACAGGTGTTGAAGCAGACTGAAAATGTTTTGTCATTGTCTCCTTCCTATCTCCTCTTTCTTTCATCTTTTGTCCTGTTTTTTTCTTTTTCTTTTTCCTTCTTCTTCTTCTGTTTTTACATTGCAGTGTCCATATGAACTGTAAAACTCCCTGCATAATTATAATAAAGCAATTTATATACATGAAACAAGTGGAGCGGTATGGCAATTGCGATACCGCTACACTTGTGAAAGTAAAATCTGTTGGGCTCCTTTTGGCATCAAGACAATTATTCTTATTGCCACCTTGCCAGACAGGACACTGTAAAAAAAAAAAAAAAAAAAAAAAAAAAAGAAATGACCAAAGTTATTGTTTATTTTTGACCTGACAAAATATGTCATACACACTACGTTTTGTTTAAAAAATATATAATTATAAAAAATATAACCGCGGATGTCTGGGGGACAGTGATTCGCCTACATGTAATGAATGCTGGCGTACCATAAAGAATAAATTATGAACAGTTTAGTTTGGGGCATAGGAAGGCGTTACCTGGATATTACCTAATGGAATATCTTCAGAACAGCTCCAAATGACACAAAACTAATATGGGTGAGTAGAACATGATGTCATAATGTAAAATCAAGGGGCCTAATGTAAAAAAAAAAAAAAAACAGTCTTCCCCTTTAAGTAAAAGTTTAATTACAGCAACCTTAACCTTTGCAGTAACCAAAGGCTTTTAACACTCATGCACTGGAGAGCTGGCAGCAGGCTCCTTAAATTGTCCACTGTTTGATGGAGAACAGGTGAAACCAATCAGTCTTCTACTCAGGGGGAAAGTGCTTGAGGAGGACCTCTGGGGGAGAATCTGAAAACTGGTTATACAGGTCCTTCTCAAAATATGAGCATATTGTGATAAAGTTCTTTATTTTCCATAATGTAATGATAAAACATTCATATATTTTAGATTCATTGCACACTAACTGATATATTTTAGGTATTTTATTGTATTACGGTAATATGGATGATTTTGGCAATGAAAGACCTGAAATATTTCAGTTAGTGTGCAATGAATCTAAACTATATGAATGTTCAAGTTTTATCATTACATTATGGAAAATAATTAAGTTTATCACAATATGCTAATATTTTTAGAAGGACCTGTAAGAAGGAGGAAACTCCAAGACCCCAACACATTTCCCCATCTAAATAAATGTGCTCAGATTAAAAATTGGATCAAAATAGTTGGATCATACTGAAATTGAAAGCATATGTATTTTACTTATTTACTTATTTTAAATGTTTCAAGCAAAAGCTGATAAATCTGTCAAACACAAAGGGATATTTGTTTTTTATATTAAATATTCATACCCTACTGCAGAAGAAGCTGTAAACAATGGAGCCTTACAGCTGCAGCAGTCCAGGGGGCGAGTTTTCACTCTCTGTGTGCCCAGCATAAAATTCAAACAAAGACATCTGTTATTTAGTTTCATAATTTAAATTTATTCAAAACACTGTCATGAATGTAGTGGAGGAAGCATCAGTTGTTACACTTTTATACATGATGTTAACTGAAGTTTATGATTGTGCAGAAAATCTATTTCTGCTAAAAAAAAAAAAGGGTCCAAATGCGACAAAACCATCTGACTTTCTCAGTGTTTTGATTGAGGGCTTACATAACACCATGCATCGTCCCAAACGTAGGTAGGTCGTCCCTTGAAAACATGTAACCAGCGCGCGTCACAGCGCATGCGCGCGTCTTTTCCCTCCCCCCATCTTCCACCCCAGTCCTCCTATAGGTTCTGCCTGAAGGTAAAATGGGAGTGAAACATAGAAAGCTTTATAAACATCTACATTACCCGTTCTGCCTTTTTGTCGGATTTACTTATTCTGTTTGGTTCTTCTTTTTTTCCCAACAGCGCACCCAAAATGCCAAGCAAGAGGAAGAAGAACAAGCGTCGCATGAGGAGGGTGGTGAGTAGAGACAGGTGTACTTTTTATCAACTAAAATGATTTATCAGCAAGATAAATCATGTGTGTTTTTTTTTTATTCTTAATTATTTAGTTTTCTCCTGAAATAATGAGTCACTTGTGGTTGAAAAACTCAAACTTTCCTTTTTGAGGTGAAAAAAAGCACCTTCTTTATGTAGAAGGTAGAGGTAAAACAAAATGTTAAGGCTTGTTTTTAAATTTAGACTCAAGACAATTTTATTTTGTCATTTTGTATACATAGAGTGTAAACAAAAAAAAATATTTCATTTAAAAAAGCTCAGACAATTAATTCTTTTTTAAAGTGCTGCCTTGAAAACAGTAATAAAGACATTTAAAAAAGATAGTAATATAAATATATGACTGTATATTTACAGTTCTAACATTATCTTTTTTTAAATGTAACCGAACTAGATGATAATCACAACATTCCCCATAATATATTCTATTTTTCAAAGAGGAAATCGCTTTTTCTGTTTAAGATGGAGAGATTTTGCCTGCCCTTTGAGTCATGAAGAGACTGCAAAAAAAATTGTACTTTGCTTGTTTTTTCTTCTAACTTAAACAGGGTTTTTTAAACCTGTGCAAAGACTAAGAAAATCTACAATTAACAAAAGCAGAACCCTATATTATGTCTGTAGAAACTAATTTATAAGATTCCAGGTTCCTTCCTATTGCCTCGGTAGGAAAGAGGAGCTTTTGAATATTGAGTGCTTAAAGGAAACATAGTGGGTGTGGCAGAGGGGAGATCTGTATGAGTGAGAAAGTAACACAGAAGCTATGTTTACTCCCAGAGCAAAGATTTCCTCCAGTCCTCACACAGCAAAATCATTACCGGTAGTTTTTTTTTAGCAAAAATATCAATTTCTCTACACCTTGTTCTTTACATCCACCAAGCCAGTCATATTAAAGTGTTTTGCAGATCTTTAAGAAAAAAAAGGGCAAAATATGAGCAAATATAAAACCTAATTACTAATATTTAGCTCAATATGTATATATGTTTCAATGACTCTCATTCCTGTCATGGGCAGAACTCATGATAAGATATTTTTTTTCCATGCAAATACCTAAAAATCTCTCTTGCTGTACTATTTTTCATTATTAAAAAAGTATGCATTTCGATGGCCAAAGAAAATTTTATGTAATTTGTAAATGTTTGTCTTATTGTCCATAATCATGGTTCTCCTCAATTTATGTTGGCATAAGGTAATGTTTCTATGATTGAATTAGAAGATAGATAGAAAATAGGCTGTTATTCTTTTTAGGAAAAGTTTTTTGAGTCATTTGATATAGTAATGGCATGGAATGCACTCAAACCCAACAAGCATTGTCAATACCAACTCATTTACAATTACAGTACATAGTATTATAGAAACTTTTTCACTCAGTTTGTATGGGTTACCCTTTTTAATGTAGAGGAAAAACCTTAACAAAAGTAATTTCCCTGTGGGATTATTAAAGTATTTCTGATTCTGTACTTCGTTTGTTATCATTTAGGATTTTATCAGATCTTTTTCATTTTTAAAAAATATTTTAATCACTAGAGATACATCATTGGGGTTTTTTTTGGCTAATATTATTGTTCATCATTTTTGCTGAGCACTATTAAACTTAGGCGAGGCAGAAATGTACTGCAGGTTCCAAAATGGTGGAAGTAGTTTGAAATTCAGCTTGGAAAGAAGCCATTAAAGGACCATTCCCAAGTATGTATTAAAGAAGTTGTCCTTTCTGATGAAGGCCAGGAAAAACATTGAATTAATATACATTCTGTTCTCGATACGTTGGAGCAACAGTTCTCCATATTCAAACAACCACTGATTAGAAAGAAATCTTTTAGATTTTTTTTTATAATTTGACCAAATTATCATGGAATAGAAACATCTCTAATGCCTTAGCTTTGCTTGTATACATTTTGTATTGGGATTACTCTGACACCTGTCCATGGATAACAAATCAAAAATAACCTTAAGTAATAAATACATGCCTTTTAATTGTCTATTAGCATTTACATTCTTTATTAGGTAAAATAACAAACCAATCAAATTATGAGTGTTTGCAGGCAACAGGATTTATTTTTAGAGCTTTTATGCCCCTCTTAATGTCAGAGTCTGTCCTTCTTATTACCACATCAGTGCTTTTTTTAAACATGTCTTCATTGATGAAATAAACTGCTAGGGCTTTGGAATGCATACAATTTTTCTGGTTTTCACAGTCAACAAATGGCTCTAAGTTCAAAATGGCTCCTTAAGTCATGTCCGGCTTTGTGCTGACAGCAGTTACCTTTTCATAACTATATTTTACTGTTCTCTAACCCCTGTAATGCCATGTGTACCATATTTAAAACATGAGTTTCAATTCAAGAGCAATTCCATGGCACAGTGAAGTAAAGACGTTCATAGAGGCAATTAAAAATTAATAAAAAATTATTTAAATTATGCTATGGAACGGAATATTTGTGTTATGTATTGAAACATATCCACACAACCACATAGTCCATCTATCTACATACCGCCAAACATATCTCCTGCTTACATAACATATTCACATGCATACATACGTAAAGCTTACATCTTTGCATGTTGGTGAGTGGGACAGATGAAGGTTCGTTAGGAGTTAAGAAGAAATGCAGCTTTAGGAACAAAAGTGGCAGCCTGGGCATTGATGTTGCCGTTTGAAGGGCAGCCACCCAAATTTACAGTAAAGTAGATTTGTGGGATCTTTAGATGTTTTCTGTGCTCAGCCTGTTGTTTGCACAGCTACTGTGATGCTTTATTTCTTAAAAAAACATGATGTAAACAAAAAGAATAATGCAGTGAACAGAAACTGTATAATAAATAGCACGATGAAGCTTAATGTATCAAATATTCAATAAAAGTTATTAAAATTGCTACTTTGTTCATTTGGCAGATTGTTAAATGGAGATAAAAATGTTCTGATAATTATTCAATGGTTCAGGGTTTATAGAGCTAACTTTAGGTCTTAATCATTTGTTCATGTCTTGTTCAGAGTCCAGTTGGTTGCTAAATATCAAGTTCAGTTATGTGGACATCACTAACACAGGGAGTGTTTTGACGGTGCTTGGCTGGAAAAGACACGCACACACACACAGGCACTCTTGGCCTGCACGACAGGTCTAGCAATGCCGAGCTGGCTTTCGGCCTAACAAAAGCATTTTTTGGGAGTGATTATAACCTGATTATGAAGTGATTAGACTCCCTGTCTGGCCCGCAGGGCACCCATGAGTGCTGCTGACTCGCACGGTTTCTCTTCCCGCTTCACCAGACCTGTCAGGACCATTTTGATTCAACTAATTAGCTCCCATTATCTAACTAGCTTTGCTGGGCCCAATCCCAGTTGGCCCCACCCTCCAGTGGTCTGCTCTTCTAAAATCTCCATTGAGGCCTGAGGGGGTTTTGTCCAAAGCTGAAAAATATGTTGGAACTGACAAATATGGCCTACCTTGTATTCCTGCAAGAGCTAGAATGAGCTGAATTTCACTAGTAGTATTAGTAGCTGTGCTCTATGAGGGCATTTAGAAAGTACAATCAGTTTTAGGCTTTTACTCCTATATTATACTCATTAAAAAGATTACCTTCCAAAATTATCAATGCTGCTTGGACCTTATTGACATTTTATTTCAACAATTACCTTCAGCAGGTTTTAATGGGAATTTTTGCTTCAGATTGATAGTAATACAGTTAACGGATTATCTCACCTGTGCTGTAGATGTCTGCAGGTTTTCAATTTCCACTGTTCACCTCTTGTTAATTCATGTTTTGATGCTACTGACTTTAACAAGTTTAGAAGAAGAAGAGAAGAAGAAGAATCAACTTAATTGTGATTACACTGTCATAAGTACAAAGCAATGAAATTCAGCATTGTGCATTTAACCCATCCCTTTGAGGAGCAGTGGGCTGCCACTCTGCGGCGCCTGGGGAACAGTGTTTGGGGTTTATGGGTCTTGCTCAGGGACCCAGAGTGGCAGTCCATAGGAGTGGGGATTGAACTCAGAACCTCTGGGATCCAACCGTAATGCCCTAACCACAAGGCCACCACTCCCGAGTTTAGGTTTAGGTGAAAGTCAATGTCTTGGTATGTTTGCTGGGGAACTTGTTCCATTATCCTTGATCATTTGATACTGGAACCAAATAACTGTTAAATATTAGTAATAATTTTTTGGCCTTTTTTTAGCTTCTACACAGGTACAATAACCTGGCATAAGAAAGATGAATACTGTGAAGAGTTCAAATTGAACTTCACTTATGTATCAGGAAAGCGTTCACAAAGGGAGGGACATTCAGTACAATTCTTTGATTTCATTGGGAAACATTGACACAGGCCTCCTGTGTCATAATTCCTGAAAAATCAGACATTTCCTTCTAACATCATCGATTTCTTTTAATGGATGATTAATCCACGTGCTTCCATACTTTCTGGAACTCATCTGCAATGTGGCTTTCTTAAGAATTCTAGAATTGAGGTCTAATCTGTCTGCCTCCTGTCCGCCTCTCCTGCAAAGTCAGACCAGCCGATGCTTTCCACATCTGAAAGCTCACCTGAAAGGACAGAAGCAGGATGAACCTTCTTGATATATTTTGTTCTTAAAAAAAGAATATACTTTCCTGTACTATGTGGGCATTCGCACTTAGAGCACCCAAACAAGGAGCACCGCTCCTGTTGACTTGTCTGCTCCTTAGTCTTCATGGTCCCTTTTGAAAGCTGATTTTGTCTAATGAACCTCCCAGTCATTCATAGTTTAGACACATTAATTGTGATAATAAAATTCGCACAGGTGGCCGGTAGTAGGATCAATAGGCAACATTGAGGAGAATTACTGCCCCTGGAATTTAATTTGCGGAGTCAGAGCAAAGGGAGTTTTACCTGAAAGGACGCACTATGCTTTTTAAAGTTTCTCTTCCTTTCCACAGGCTTGATATTTGGGTTGATGCATTGACTAAAATCTGTATAAATACATCTAAGTGTGCGGTTGCTACATGACAACATGTAAAAAGGGGTATAAATTAAAACATATATAAATCTAATGATTATCAAAACAAAATACTTCATCAAACACCTAAAACTAGCTTTAGTGGTTCTGTTTAGCATTGCATTATTAGTCGACCTCATCTACAGTATATTTCTGTTTTTTCTTGTTTCAGCAAGCCCAAAGGAGAGCACTGGAGGAGCAGCATGCAGCAAATCCACCAATCAAAACCAGCTCAGGGACTGCAGTTAGGCCACCTCCTATAACAAATCTCAAAAAAGCAGCTAAACCCACAGCTAAAACTGCACCGCCCAATCGTGAAAACCTTCCACAGGCTGTTCCCATCTCTATCCCCTTAGTGGAACCTCAAAAAGAGGAACCAGAGCCTGTTGAGAAAGAAGATGCCGCAGAGGTCCATGATGAGATAGCTACAGTAGAGTCTGGTGGTGTGCTGTTGGAACAAGCTTCCTGTGAGTTGGATGTGGAATCCAGAGTGGGGGATGAAGTTGTAGATTCAGCACATGTCAGTAAAGATGGCCCAGTTGAAAGTAGTCCTCCAGTGAAGCCCTCTACAGTTGAAGATGATCTGGCACAGGAAGCTGAATCTTCTGTTTCTGAATCAGAAGCTGTCTTTGAGGTAATAAAATAGGTTATTTTTCACCTGCTCATTCTTAATACCAGCACAAAAACCTGGCTCACTTGCAGACCAGTGATGGGTATCTTTTAGGCAATCAACATGCAGGAAACTGTTACAAGAGGAAAAGAGTGAATTGACGTGCAACAAGCAGTTTCTAGAAAATGCAATTCAATTCAGTTTATTTATATGGTGTCAATTCATAACACATCATCTCAAGGCAATTTACAGAGACAATTTAATCGAGTCATTTCCATCAAAGGAAATCCAGGTGTTTGCATCAAATTTGTAGTCAAAATGGTGAGTGAAGATTAACAGACATAGAGGATGCCTTACTTATACATTACATTAACAGCACCTAAAGGAGTCTGGTAGGAAAGCATTCTGAGTGTGATGTGAGCCCTGTAGTTAACATAAGGGACAAAAAGATATAACAGTTGCCCCACGTTGGAACCATTGGGGACAGAGGTGATCTCACACATTTGTCATCCTAATTCTTCCTTGTTGCTTTTTCTTTCAGATGACCTTTATTATATTTACTGTAATGACCGTCAGATGCCTTGGTAACTGTCTGAACACATATCCAGGCATGCTATTATACCACTGATTGTGCATTCCTGGTTAGACTGGTTCCCTTTGAATTGGCTCAATGGCAATTGCATTTGTTTGCATCACCAAATTTACATTTTATCTGGATGCGTTGATACATTTTTACTTTTTTGTTGTTTATTTTGGTATTTTGCTTGCAAAGAAGCACAACTTTTTATACTTATAATTTTTTTATACTTATCAACAACGCAAGACTAAAAAGTCTTTCAAAGTTTTTCGACAGAAGCTTGTCAGGTTTAGAACAATAGGATCCAGTATAAAATGGGGATAAACAGATTTCTCAAAACATTTATTGGAAACAGAACCACAATGAGCAGCGTCTAAGGTAGGAGGAGATAACAGGTTAGTGACCACGTCTTTCTGGATGATAATGAATGTGTGAGTCACTAACCTGGTCTTATAGTTCAGTCCAAGCCCAGAGGGCGAGGCTGCTTCCAGCCGGTCGGCTGTCAACACGACACAGCGGGCGCCGTCCAGAGAGTCCCAGATGCTAATGTATCCATGGTCGGAAGACAGGCAGGAGATCAGAACCAGCCAGACAAAGATAGGCAGGATAATCCAGAGGACGAAACCAAAGCCAATGTCAGTGACATGCTCAGTAGTTAGAGCCAGGAGATAGAGACCCAAATAAAAGAGAGAATCTAGAATGGAGTCAGGAAAAGAGTTCCAGGTTTGGTACACACTGAGGACAGGTGAGGCAAACCGATCAGAACCGGGACAGGCAGACTAGGAGGTCCACAGGCAGAATAAGTCAGGATCAGCAGAGATGGCAAAAGTACTCACTTTCCGTACTTGAGTAAAAGTACAGATACTTGTGTTAAAAAATACTCTGGTAAAAGTGGAAGTACTGATTAAACTTCTTTACTCAAGTAAAGTAACAAAGTACAGGCTTGTAAATTTACTTAAAGTATAAAAGTAAAAGTAGAAACCACTTTTTTCATGCCGTTGCCTACATTTTAAATGGATGTCTGCCAATAGGACTAGATCTCCGTTGTGTTCATTTTCAATCATCTCGTCGTCCATACTACTATGCAAACGCCACCGCCACCAAGCTGCAATGATTTGCCGCTAATTAATACCGCCGAATCTGTCGATTCATCTTGTAGTGGTGCGTCAAATGCAACGTAGATTCCCATCCAATTAGATTGAATTTGGTATTGATGACGTGAAAAATACTAACGGTAACTCCATTGAAATGATTCAAAACTAAAGTAACGAGCCAATTTTTTAAAATGTAAGGAGTAGAAAGTTCAGATATTTGTGTAAAAATGTAAGGAGTAGAAGTAAAAAGTCATCATAAAAATAAGTAGTAAAGTAAAGTAAAAATATCAGAAAAATCTACTTGAGTACAGTAACGAAGTATTTGTACTTCGTTACTTCCCATCTCTGAGGATCAGGAAATCAGAAACACAGGAATGCTCTAAAATTTTGATACCACTGGCTTGAAATAATCTGGCACTGATGACTGGTCTGAAGGCTGGTTAAATAAAGACTGAAGAAGGTTGATCAGATGGGCAGTAATGAGAACAGGTCAGAGCTTGGCAGGTGATTTAAATGAATAATAAGACCAGACATCAACGCCAAAATCCTGACAAAGCTAGCTGCTTTTTAATTTTTCATTGATTTTGTTGTTGTTATGAGTAAAAACTCCAACAGGACTATTAGGACCCAACTCTGATTGATGGTCTGTCCAGGGAATCCCAGAGGATTGATCAAGCCTATACCTCCGCAGAAATCTAAGTAGCAGGTGTCAAACTCTTGCCTTTGTTATAGCATCTTTGACGGCTTTCTTTTCACAAGTTACAATAATAAGAAACACCTTTACCTCCTTCCCCCTTATTAAATAAATTTTAAAGCTGCTGCTGTTACAGTTATAGGTGTAGCTGAATTTAACTGAGGCTTTATGCATGCACAGTTCTGCACATTCAGTTCCCCTTGTGCTTTCTGGAGAGAGGATGAAGTTTCTGTGTGGCTACCTTTACATGTGTGTACGTTTAACAGCATATAAACAGCTTTAAATCTCACCCAATCATTTTGTCTATTAAACCACATGTAACATGAGGTTTATATCTTAAAGTAGCTATTTCTGCTTACTTTGCTCTTTTTCTTTAGGCTGCCTTTACTTGCAGGATAGATACAGATTTGAATGCTTTTATCATCACACTTAAGCAGGACTAAAAATGAGAAGTGGAAGGATATTGCATAAAGTAGATTTGTCCTACATTTAGACATTTAGAAGGGGATTGGCACAAGTCAAAGTTAAATTATTTATGATTAGACACTGAAAGTTTCTAATATTCATGAGCTTCTCTGTGATTGCCAGTATGGCTCAACACACTTGGCTGCACTTTGTTTTCGGCATCGCTGGTCATTTAACTGCTTGCAGGAAATCAAAAGGGTTGGCTGAAAACACCATGCATTACTGTAGGTCACAGTCTCCACACAGGATAATTAGTACTCGAGTTGAGGGGAATGAGTGGGGGATGGCATCCCTCTTCCTAAAAAAATCTTAAAAATCATCCACCTTATTAAATGAACATTCCCCCATACCATCCTCTGTGACACTTTTTTTTACTAAATATGTAAATTTATATATCATATATCAACAGTAATTGCAATAATATTGCCCTTTCAACATTTGGCAGGCTGTCCGCTTACGAGTAGCCTGAGCAAATTATGGTGGCCCAGAGGGTTCATGCGATTTCGATTTCAACCTCAGTGGCGCAGCCAGCGGAGCAGGTGAAGGTGTTCTGAACAGCATCACGGCTGACCGGCAAAGACAACACGATTTGAGGGAATGTGAGAATAAGGAGGGGAGGGAATCTTCCGCAGGTTCCGGTTTCTAAGTTGGTGAGATCTCCCTCCCCTGCTTAGTTTGAGAAATAATGTTTACAATTATGCAAGTTTCTCCACATAATCATACCTGTTCTCTGTGATTGTGGTATGAATTTCATAAGTCTGGGACAATAAATGTGAAAATAAGGAGGAGAGGGATTCTTCATCAGGTTCCAGGTTCTAAGTAAACAAATAAAGTGTCAGAAATGATCTAGAATGGTGTTGATAGAAAAATCAGGATTTGGCATCCACTGAGTAGAGACTTTATTCATCGCACACTGACTGTAGCTCATCGACTCAAACTTGTCTCCATACAACCTATTAATTCGAATTTATCTGTCTACCCAAACTATCAATTTTAAGGCATCCATGTATAAGAAATATGAAAACAATAAGAATATGTTTAAGATCTCCCTTTCTCCCTTTTCGTTTATATTTTAATCCGTTTTCTCATCAATGGGTGTGAGTTTAGGGTGATGTTCGCTCCAGCAACAGGGGAGGTAATTCTCGCCAGGCAGATAATTCTCGGCACAACAGATCAGGAGAGAATGGAAGAAAAATGCATTTTAATTAAGCAATTTAAGACACTTGTTAAGATTAATATCTTGAAAAAACTGCCAAATATGATGTTAATATCTGGCCAATGTTCATAAAAGAATTTAATATTGACATCTGACTGCAAGGTCCCTCGTGTGATCTGCAGAATGCCTGTTGTCCAGTTAATGGTAAATAAGTGACAGACCTGTTAAATAGTTTTAACTCATTCATTGCCAGCATGTAGCCTGGCTTAGTTTAAATTAGCCAATAGAAGTAATACTGATTTTCTGATAAACAGTCTATTTTATAAAAATAAATGCTCTAAATAAATATTTGAAAGGTGAGTAAAATTATTAGATTTTATATGGACTTATTTCATTTTTTGGCTAATTCTAATGTATTTGAATTTGTAAGCAGTTTTTTCAGATTTTGAAATGATGAACTGATCAATTTTTTTTTGCAATGCTGCTGTTATTCAGGCAATTAATGAACAAGGGTTTAGAATTAAGACATTGATAAATTAGATTTAGTTTCAAGATTAAGCCAGGAAAACCTAGTGGTATAAGAATACTTTTCATGGCTTAAAAAAAAGAATATTAATACAGTTTTGCATTTTGGGTGCTTTTTAAGAATGTGCATTTGTGAATAAATACTGATTAAATATTCCATCTGGAAATTAACCTGGAGAAAATTAGTTCATTTAAAAGGCAGATTCAAAAATCTGACATTAAAAGACATACAAAGAAGTAAAGAGAGGGAGTAACCCTTTCCCAGAATTCAATTGGTTGCAAGATTTCATAAGAAACGTTGGTTGTTCTTCCCCTTTTTCCAAAATGTAGCAAGCAAAACATTTCAAGGAAAAGTTCATTGGCTTTTTGTGTTTGTGCAAAACTGTGAGCTCAAGTTAGAGAGCTAAATCTGGCATGCATTTCTGCATAGGGACACAGAAAACCTGCCAAGAATCTCACTGGGATTTTTTATTTGCTGTTAAATGCCTTTAGGTCATCCATCACAGCTAAAGTAAGGCTGAAAAAAATGTGTGGAAACTTGTTTCGCACAATTTTAGAAAGTCCGGTTTGCGTCACTCCTGAAGCCTGACCTTTAAGATGTCAGAAAGGAGCTGAGCTTCAGTGTTTGAGGTAATGTTGTTGAACAGCTTGAAGTGCTTGTTAGCCTATATAAGAGTGGCCTTTGCAAACAGGATCTGCTTTTGTTTATGAAAATTGGTTGTGATGGATACATATGCATATTAATTTTGAGGCTATTTTATTTGTTGACAATAGAGAATAAATTTGCTGCCCTTTCTTCTTCACAGGTTGCAGCCCCAGAAGAAGCTCCAGCAGAGGTTGCTTCTGAAGCTGAAGTAAATCTAAGATAGATATTTAATTGTCACATAAAACACTAGTTTTACTGTCTGATGACACAAATCAACCACACATATTTTGTAATAAGCCAAATGTGGATAAGGCAAGTGAGAGTATAGTAGATCAGGTTTTTCTAAGGTCTAAATTTGATATATTTATTTTTATTTGAAGTCAAATCAGTGCTTGTGTCTAAAGAAAACTTTAAAGTATACCAATCTAGTAACCAATAAGGTCATGGGAAATTCTCTTTGCTCCTTAAAGGGGACTGATTTTTTTCCTGATGAATTTTCAAACATTTATTCCTAAAAAAAAAGAAAAAAAAAGAAAAGAAAACAATTGGCAGGTGTACAAAGTTGCACCCAAACAATTCATCATCATCTGGAAACATACATCACAATGATCAAGCACAGTGGAGGTAGGTTATGGTATGGGCTTAATTGTGAACCTGGACAACATGTAGTATGAGTCAGTCATAAACTTCTCTGCTTATCAAAGAGTAAACTAGTGTTAACTGTGAGGTCATAATTGTCATGATGGGTTACTGAGAGGCCCAAGATGCAGAACACCACGGAGACAGAATAAAAGTTTAACAGGTTTATTGTTTCACAAGCACATGGAAATAACACTGGTACTGGTTCAGGCCTGGGGGGCTGGTTCACTGGAGTCTGTGTGGGAGACAGTTCAGTTAGCGTAGGCTCCGTTGAGGTTGAGTTTTAAGGTTTTCTGGTTTGTACCTTGAGGAGTCCTGATAAAGCCTTGAGGGAGGAACTGTTGGGGTCCAGAGATTGTTTCGTTCAGCAGAGTCCGATAACTGCTTCAGCGTCTGACTTCTAGCGTGAAGGCAGACCTTGGTTCTGAGTTTCCAGCTCTTAGTCCAGAGCTGCATGGGAATCCAGAGAAGAGTCTTCAGGTTTGGCTCAGAGGGCAGGCTCGGCAGGTTAAGCTCTTCCAGAGCTTCACAGGAGAAAGACAGGTTTCATGAAAGCAGAGACAAAGGGTTAGAATCCAGTCTGGATTCAATGGCAACAAAGGTTCTCAGAAGATACTAGGCTTAGGTGCTAACCAACTGGATTTAACACTGCGGCGTCGAGGCAAGGTCTGAAGACAGCTTATATACTGTGGATCCTCTGATGATGAGATGCGCCTCAGGTGTGTCGAAGGCTCAGCTCAGGAGGATCCATGGCGGACTCTGCTGGAGAGTGATGGAACTTCTCCAGCTCCCAACAATAATCACATCAGTTTAGACGTGACCAAAACTGGGTTATAAAACCTAACAAATCCATCAGCAAATCTACATTAAAACTGGTAAAAAAATAAAAAAAAAACATGACAATGTGCTGCATAAAAAAATCCAGTAAAAAACATTTACCTTGTTTAAAAATTGTCATAATAGGACCTTAGAGCAGAAATCTGGATACTTTCTTTTGCAAGGCAACCAACACGCATAAATAGAAAGCTGTTAGCTCAGAAATGGGGCTAAACCTCTTTATTATTACTAAAAGCTGAGAAGGTGGTGTAAAATCAGCATTAAGTCACCAGTATTTATAGACCAGGTCTGTTCCATTAGCTCTTCTTGATTAAATACCTTTAAGTAATAATGTTTGTTCATCACTATTCAGTAATCCATTAACAGATCAGTTTATATATTCAACCATCTTTTTATAGAAATTTAACAAATGTTTGTCTTTTTTCCAGAATCAGACAGAATGCAATGAAATAATACAAAAAGAGACAGATCATGTAAGTTCTTTGGTTTATAGCCTCAGATTAGCTGGTCCTGCAATATAAAGTAATTCAGTGTTACTGTAATTCTATTATTTCTAAGAGCTTCTCACAGTCAGTATTTAGCTGGACTCCTTAGGTGATCTTGATTAATTGAACATATTTTATCTTGTTGCCTTTGCAGACATATGAAATCTGTGAGGCAGACAGTGAAAAGGCTGAAACCCTGGCAGAAGAAGACGCTGAGGCTAAGCTGGAACTGGAGGGGGCCATCACTGAAGAAGTCAGCATATCAGAGTCTGCAAAAGAAGCAGCTGAAGATAGAGAGGTAGAAGATCTTACCAGTGACAAATCTCCTGCTGAAGATACTGGATCAGTGGAGGAGGCGGTCATAGAAACAGTGGAGGCTGAAAATGGGGTAGAGGTTGGTCCGTTGGAGCTGCCTGAGGAGGGAGAGGAGAAAGTGGAAGATGTGGCTGAAGAAGACTTGGCTGCACTCAGTGTTGAGCCTGTTACAGCAGCAGAGGTGCCACCACAGAAATCTATATCCACAATTCTCTTTAAATACATAATTTGCAAATTTTCTAGTGTTTGTTGTAGTTTCCATAGCTTCTATTGCTATCAAAGCCAACAACAGACTTCTTTTTATGTCCTTAGGATGTTCCCGTATCATCATTGGAAATCCCAACAGTAAGAACCTTTCCATTCCATTCCATTGTAATTATTACCAAAAATATAATGAAAGGAAAACAGATAAATTCAGATTTTCTCTTTCTTGCTTGCTTTATTAGACTGTGACATGGCAGCCTTTTATCTCCACAGGTGCTGAATGCTATAACTGAAAGTCCAATGGATGAAGCTGATCTCCCTTTTGTTGAAGCCAAAGAGGTATTGCAAAGAATTCTTTTTCACATACTTTCTTTACTACACAATAAAACAGAGCGAAAATTAAAAACAGAATAAAAGCAAGTGAATATAAAAAACATGATAAAAGCAGGTAGTAAAGAATAAATAAATAAAACAGGTGGACCACAAACTTAAACTAATGATACCTCATTTAACAGTTTAACTTCAACAGTCAAAGGCAAGTCGAATCAAAATAGGTTTTTAAATTTGACTTAAAAGAATTCAGGATTTCAGCACTTTTACAGCCTTCTGGGAGTTTTTTCCAGAGAAATGGATCATAGGAACTAAATGCTTCTTCTCAATGTTTGCTTCTAGTTCTGGATGTACAGAGTGGGCTTGAAATAGAAGACCTGAGTGGTCTGATACACTGACAACAAATCTGTTATTTATTTAGGTACTGATCCATTCAATGATTTATAAACTAACAGAAGGATTTTAAAGTCTATTCTCTGAGCTACAGGGAGGCAATGGAAGGACTTCAGAACTGGGCTGATGTGCTTTACTTTCTTAGTTCTAGTGAGAACACAGGCAGCAGTGTTTTGGATCAGCTGTTGCTGTCTGATGGACTTTATATTATGTTAGTTGATTTCACTACAAAAACAATAATTTAAAATTTTGGATCAAAGTAACATGACCAAAGCGAAAATAAGCTGTTGTGTCAAAGTTCTGTTCATGATGTAGGAAATTTCATCAGAGATTTCTGAGCTCTATGCTGGTCAGAGAAACTGCACCCTGGCAGTGAAAGTACAACAAGGAGACTGATAGTTTTGTTTTTGTCATTTTTTTTGTGCTGTTGCCATCTTATTTTGCTGTATGCTTTTTGATATACAATGCCACAACAGTGAACTGGTTTGATTTGATTACTTTAATTAGTCACAGTCCCGAAGATGAGAAACTTTCTCTTCTGAAACTCTTTTTCTACCTCTTAGGAAGCTGCTGACCTGCCGGTCCATGAATCTGTTGTCACTGAATCTGTCTCTGCAGTGAATGATGCTGTTTCATCCTCTCCAATTGTCCAGCTGGTGAGATTTCTACGAAGCGATTTCAATGTTATGCTTTATAAGGAATAATATCATCCATAATATCCATTGTGTTCTCTCTTTTTTAATAAATTCAAAAGAAAACATGCTTTCCAGCTAAAATAGACAAAAAAGTATCAGGCACAAACCATATCAAATTAACAGACACATTCAATTATCACTGTGAAGTGGTAGTGACAGTAAAAACAATCAAAACTGTTTTTTTTCTTTGCTCTTTTGTTATATTTTTTTTTATATTCTCCGAAATATGTCTGCAGTCATTATAGTGCTGCTGTATTAAGGTTTTATACTAGTGTTGCACTGATACCAGTATCAGGTAGGGCCGCGATACAGCACTAAAATGGTGGTATCGGTATCGGCAAGTACAGACAAATAGGGCAACAATCCAATTATTGTCACCCATTCCAGGTAGGCAATAAAAATATCTACTGGATTCACTTTGTCTTTTTTCTGTTTCACAAAGGTAGGCAGCAGCTTGACAAAGCCATCATGGTAATTATTTTACATCCAAGTAGTATGCAGTTCTTCATGTATACACACACAGATCGGTATGGTATCGGCCGATACTGCACAGCCAGGTATCGGGGCCAAAAATTGGCATCAGCGCCACACTATTTTATACCAATATGTTGGCATAACCTGCAGTGAAACATTTACAGCACTACTTTTAGTGGGTTATAATTTTTTTGTTTTGTAGAGTCCATGCATCGCAGCAATTCATAGTCTAGTTTATGGGGATGTGTATGCTTTTAATTCATGGTTGAATTAAAAATTGTTCAAAGAAACAAACAAAAATAAAAAATAAAAGTTTTTAAAAAATCTGTCATTAAGCTGTTTTATTCATTTAGAAGTTGTTTTTCCCTTTTATTAACATTCAGGAAACTGAGAGAACAGGGGACACATTTACCACCCAAATAGAGTCCTCTGATTCTGCTACTGCTGCTGCTGCACATGCTGAGGCTCCTGCTGCTCCTACAGAGGAGGTGAGAACCTTAAATTCTATCTAGTTTTAACATTTGTGTTATCTTGAGTAAAAAGCGGTTGAATTTATACTTCATATAAGCACCCCTAATTTCTTCAATTGTTCCTTTGCCCTTTTGGTGGAAACCAAGTGTGACCAAAATTAGGTTGCTTTTGTGTGTATTTCTGGTTTGAACAAGCAAAAAAAAATTTTTCAACAATGACAAAAAAAAAAATAGTTTTTCCACAAGAAACAAAGAAAATACAAAAAAAACTTCTTAGGACCTCTTGAGATTTTCTGTTTTCCTGGCATGAGTGAGCTTCCTGTCACAGAGAGGATCTTTGCTGGTGGCTGAGCCGACTCGTGTTGCTGCACACCCAAGAACATTTCTAAGACAGCTCTCAGTCTTCGTCTTCGTCCAGCACCACGTCTCTTGCATGCACCAACACTCTCCATACTCACTCACATTCTTCTAGACCTCTGGGGTACAGTCTTAAAAACCCACTGAATCAAACCCCTATAGAGCCTCCACTTCCTCAAATCAGTCAATCATCAGTTTTCATCAACAAGCTCCTTCCTGATCAGTCTGCTTTCTGCCCTCAGACCAACCAGAAAGTTCAACTCACTCCCTGTAGTTCTCTGCTTCCAGATTGTTGCTGCTTTTGTAAATAAAACTTTAAAATTCACTGGTTCTCTGTATGATTCTGTATGTGGGTCATAAACCTACAAACCAACCTGACAAAATGTTTGCAGCTAGGGTTATCACACTGAGAAATATTCTATCACTAGTACTCGCCTGAGACCAAAAAGTTATAAACTGATTTCACTCTGATTTATGGAAGCATATGGATTGGATTAGTTTGAAATAATCCCGATTTTCCTAAATTTAATCTTCATAAACAACAGCAAAAAATAGAGTAACAGATTTTATCAGTGAATCACCCCGCCCTACATGGAGCAGTCATGAATCTTCCCAAGAGTAATTCATTGACCCAAATAGCTGTTTATCAGTGAGTGATCGAGAACGTCATAAAAGGGCTCAGAACATCCTCTTAAGAACATAAAGAGCCAAGCTCGCCTCAGTTAGAGTCAATGTGATCATAACAAAGAGGTTAGGGCTAAGTGCTTCAATGGCACATTTCCAAAGTGAAAATCACAGAAAGGAAAAAAACAAACAAACAAAAAAAAAAAGATCTAAATTTTACCAGAGAGTCTAGCTCTAAAAGCAATAAGAAGGTATTGGCAATGGACTGGTCAAAGTCAAGACCTCAATGCCTCTAAAATGATGAGACCATCCTTTGAGAATGAGCTGAATCTATTTGCAAAGAGGAGTTAGAGACAATTTCTTCACAGTGTTGTCAATGCCTGTGAAACTCTTACTATGTGTTTTGTGCCCATAGATTTAGGAAACAGTTACTGTTTTGCATTGGGTCAGGTTGGTTTGGATAGCCTTTTTTTCATTATTTAGGAAATGCTTTTTATACATCAGTTTGCCTTTGCATGAAATATATATTTTAAGATCGGAAAACATTTAATAGTGACAGGAACACACTTCTAGAGGGGTAAACACTTTGCATACAGAAAACCAGTCCAGTTTTAACCGTTTTCCGACCTGATATTTCCTTTCTTTTCCAGAATGCCGCAAACCAGTCGTGTTTAGATGTGTTGACAGACGAAGTGAAATCAGGAGATTTCCCATGTCAGATACAGATTCCTGTGGAGGCTAAACAACTCAATGCAGTGGTAAATGAATTTGTGTTAAAAGAAAATTCTAAAATGTTCTTCAAACCTACCTGTTTGCAAAAATTGAAAGTAAAAACTATGACTCGAATGAACAACTTAAGGTAAATCAAAACAGCCAAAATAATAAATGAAAAAAAAAGTTGTCAGAGCAAGGTAATATATAAACTAATATAATAGTATGTTTAATTCAAGGGAATTGCTATATTTACAGTTGTGTTTACTGCATACTTAACTGATCTTATTTCTGTGTTTCAGGAACTTTCTGTGGAAATAGCACAGAATGGAAACGTTGTTCCTGAGGTCCCCATTGAGGGTTAGAGCCTAGAACCACAGCTCAGAAGACCCTTTTCTATGTGTAAGACACTCAAAGTATGAAATAAGTCTTTTCAAACATTTTATTGTCTTTTTTATTTGCAGGTATTCACTAAAAATGATGCGCATGTAATATTTGTGTCTTTCAGGTTCCTGTTGAAGAACTCAAAGCTTCCCAGGGAATTTACCAGACCTTTTCATTTTTCAAGGCTTAGGGCAAAACGACAGGAAATCGAAGTGGGCATCCACACTTTGAAGTGCCTTTTCCTGTCCTCTGCTCTGCTGGAACATTAAACCAGATGTGACTATGGAGAAACGGCTGCTCTCACGACAGCGGCTAAGACTTTAAAACAAGCCTTTTTTTTGGCTCTTTTTAATATTTTCCTACACAATAAACCCCATGTTCAATAAGTTTGACTAAAGTAGTTCAGGAAAAGGTGCTAAAGACACGACGATTCAGCAACAACACAAATCTTCTTTTATCTTCCTAGAATATCTGTCTCCAAAGTGCACACACAAATCTTTTTTTAGTAGACATAACTCTGGAAAATGGGTCTGTATTTTAAATTAGATTTTTGTCTGTTAGACAGCAAGGTCTTGTGTTGTTTTTCGGCATTTGTTTAAGCGTAACATATTTAGCTCGCCACTCTTTTTAGAAAAGGTACAAACCTCAGATAACTTTTCAAAGGCAGTTCAGGGGTTCTGTTTTGGAGTGAAGTACTATCTAAAAGGTTGTAACTAGCTAATAATTTAAATGCTGTGGGCTAGGTGTTGATTTTGGCATCCAGGAAATCTGGTCTTCAGGCCTAAAACTAATATTGTAAAACCAAAGCTGACTTTTATTATCTTAAAATGATCCCCTCTTGAAAATATAGAGGTTAATTAAAAACATAACTGTCATGCATTATTGTCAAAGGACTAATGAAAAAAAAATCTCTCTCACCCAGTACTGTATAACCTTTAACCCCACACTGATCGCCGGGCGCCGCACTATGGCAGCCCACTGCTCCCCAAGAGGATGGGTTAAATGCAGAGTGTGAATTTCCCCATTGTGGGGCAATAAAGGGATTTAATTTTATTTTTTTTTTTTATCGTAGATATTATTTTGCTGCTGTGCATTTAATTTTATCTTCAAACACTTTTTATGATAACTGGACAGCACCGCTGCTGTTGTAAAATAAGGTGACCAGATTTTTTGAAATCCAATCCAGGGACATTTCCAGCTAACAATAAATGCATATCATGAAAATTGAAATAGGAAACGGAGGACAGTGATGCTTTCATCCATTTTTGCATATTAATATTTAAACAACAAAAATCAAGTGTAAAATCCAGGAATATGTATCTCCTATTTCCTAAGGTTAATAAGATTAACCAATCAATAGTGTTTATTAGTTCCACCTGCTCATTCCGTCTTCTTCCCTCTCCTTCTTTTCTTTCTAGCTGACTTCTACCTGCTTTCCTTTATACTATTCTAAGTAGATTTTTCTCCCTTCTCTTCAACTGTTCTTTCCATCTGCTTCCCTTTTTCCTCCGCTTTCATTTAATCTTCTGTCTTCTTCCTCTCCTCTTCTATCAATCTTACACTGATCTAAAACAGAAACATCAGTTTCTGCATGCTTGTACTCTCTTTCTACCGTATTAATTGTCTACACACATCATTTCCCCTGTCATTCATTACAAGGTTAATTTGGGGACAGCTTTAGCCGGGGACAGGTGGTCAAAAACTGGTTCTGTCCCTGAAAATCAGGGATGTCTGGTCACCGTATTGTAAAAGCCTTTCCCTTTCTTTCTACTGAAGCATCTAAACTTCCCCACTTTTCAGATAGTAAAGGATTGTATTATTGTCCAATAGAATAAATAAAACTTTTAAAGCAGGGTAACGTCCTGATAGAGTTTAAAATCAAAGCTGATCATTCGTTTAGTGCCACTTCATTTTTAGAGGTTTTACTTTGACTGGAATGTTTAACATTTTGTTCTCAGTCATGATTTCATCATAAGATTAAGATAGCAAGAAAATAATGTTGCTGATAAAACTACAGCAGTTAAAATACGCATAAATAAATCCTTTTCGACACAGTGCTCTCCACCTCAATTTCCTGCAAATAATAATCACCCAGTTAGGATGAAATATTAATGCTAAATATGTTGATGATTTAAAGGTTCATAGAATAATGTTTAGATTAATTACCAAGCTGCGGTAGCTCTCCCTGCCCCTTCGCCACTATCAGGCTAAACTCTGGAAATAGAAAATCTAGATTTATGCTAAATGAAGATGCCAAAAGTAACATACCTCAGCAGCTGTCTACAACATTTAAGAGAACTTCCCTTAATAACAAAACAAAACCCCAATGTTCACTGTCCAAAGATTAGCTTTAGCATCATGATTAGCTTTAGCATCATGCTAACTTTACCATTAGCACAATGGTAAAGTTAGCATGATGCTAAAGCTAATCTGTGAAGAGAACTTTGACAACACAAGCCTTGAAAAGCCCATTTTTTTCTGTTTCTGTTCCCACCTTTATTCAAAATTTATTGTGTTTTCAAAGTAAAAGTTATGAGTTATTGATGGGTTGTCTTGACATGTGAAATAAAATCATAATTCAATGACGAATGTTGGCTTGCTAGCTTAACCTAACCCTTTTATTCCCAAAGTGGAGGACGTGGGGGGATTATAAGACTTTTTTGGGGGGTTTCTGTCTTTAATGTGTTGATAACTATGTTATATTCTATTACAAAGTCAGCAGTTAAGGTAGTTACACTTTAAAGGTGGCAGTTTTGTGATTTAATTGAGATTGTAGTTTATTTTATTGCAATATCAATTTACTGTAGTTGGAGTTCAACTACTAAAAAGGTTGGTCAGTCATTGCGGTGGCGGCTATTAGGGGCACAAAAACTTTCCTGATAAGTAAAGGGCTGCCCAGTAAGAAAAGTTTGGAAACCACTGACCTAAACAAAATGGGTCTCAGCATTTAACAACTAAAATGCATTGGGCTGTTTTCTGGTTAACAGACACTAGATCAGGGGTCACCAACGTTTTTAAGGTGGAACGCTACTTCATTGTTGCTGAGTCATAGGAAGGGCTACCAATTATGACCTATGAACTGGTGGGTTCACCTAAACCTAATACATGATAAATATATTTTAATTATTTATTTCAATTTCTAATTTTCTTTTAGATATTTTTAATTTTGAAATTTCTATAAACGATTAAATGCTATATATCAGAGGTCTTCAACAGGGGGTTGAGTTTTGGTTAGTTAGACTTTTTTTTATTCCCCTCTGCAATTTTTTACAATGCACACATTCAGGAGCTCTTTCAAGGTGGGCACCGTTTCATTCACAAAGAGGAATCAGAATCAGATATTTTAATAATCCCAATTCAAAAGTACCTTCGTTACATTACTCCATATGCAACAGAGTGACTATACACTCAAATAAATAATACTGCACAGTACTTAATTAAATCAGTGCAGCTTTTTTACACTTAAAAACATTGAGTAAATTTAAAAGCTGTAAAATCAAGTAGATATAACTTATGAATTTAGTAAATGTAAGTTAAAAAAATTAAGTACATCTGAATAACTAAATGTAGTATCCTGACAGATAAAATTGAGTAGATTTAATTAAAATCTTAAGTCAATATAATAGTAACCCTTGGTGAAAACCAATAATAAAGTTGTGTCGATATGACCAAAAATGTTAAGTAGATATAACTGGAAGAAAAAGTATAATTTAACAAAAGAAAGGTGTTACATTTACTTAATGCTTTACCTGAATTTAATTTATATTTAACTATCAATTGTCAAAATAAATATGTTACATGTACTTAATATTTTAACTATATTTATCCTTTATTATGTTCAAGACTACAATACACTTCACATCAATACCCTAAATGAAGCAACTGCATAAAATATGACATTTTAGTTAGACCAGGGTTCCTACAGCATAAGGCAAGTTAAATTCAAGTCTTTTTAAGACTTTTTAATGCCACTTGAAATAAAAATTTAAGACCAAATTCACAAGAAACACAAGAAAAACCTGCCTGCGACAACTTAACCGAAAGGTTTATTATAACATAAACCACTGCACGAATGTTTCAAATTTTGAAAAGCTTCCCATACAGGAAGAAAGCTAAAAACACACAAATGACAGATATATTTTAACAATTATTTAACCGAATTCACAAACTGTGTTTTAGCAGGGAACAAAACAAATCAGTTTTAAAGCCACAACATAACCAGTGCTAAGTCTTTTTTGCAGCTATTTTTCTTTGTATCGTTTTCTTAGTACCGTATGTTTGATTTGGTGATAAGTGGAGGCATTGCAGAGACAAGGGTGGAACAAAACTGAGAAATACCGGCTGTTTCTCGGTAACTCGTTTTTGAAGCTTTGTGTTTCTTGCTTCGCATGTGCGACTCCACTGCCTTAATTCCCATCGTTCCGAGCTTGAATGACTTCTTGCACAAAATACACTGTGCCTCATCTATGTTCTCTGGTACTGGAGAAAACTCTTGGCTGGATTTTTCAATTTTCGTTACATGTACACTTGCTCATATTTTCCAAACAAAAAGTTAATGGCGCATTTCCCAAATGTCCCGGCCGCAACAATGCTTTTATTGGTTCCGCAATAGGCTCTATGCACAACTCCACCACTTCCTGAACTTCAGGAGGCTCCTTTGCTTCCTGTCTTTCATGATTGGATGCACTAATTAATCCAGGTGTGTATGACCTAAGTAACTGGCCAGACACACCTGGATTAATCAGTTCGTCCAGTAATGAAAGACAGGAAACAAAGGAGCTGCCTTAAATTCAGGAAGTAGTGGAGCTGTGCATAGAGCCCATTGGGACGGAACCAATAATGGCGAGCCATTATTTTTTTTAAATAAAAAAAAAAAGATCAATTTTAATGTTTTATTTAGATTACAAAAATAAATCATAATAAAAATTATCCTATTTATGATGTTTTAAAAATTAAGACCTACGAAAGACTGATTTAAGACATTTTAATACCAATTAAGGCCTTAGTTTTATTTTAAGGAATTCAATGCCTTTTAAGACTTTTTAAGGACCCGCGGAAACCCTGTTAGACATTTATTTGTCAAATGTTTAAATGTGTAAAGATATCCACAACTCTTACACAACAGAACCAGTCACAATTGCAATACTCAAGTAAACAATAAGACAATACATCAGCTGATTTGTGTGTGTAAACAGTAAAACACATCAGCAAACTCTTCTTTGTAAACATTAAAAGGAGAACTCCGGTGCAAAATAAACCTGGGGTGTAATAACACATGTGATTTGGAATCTCATGGCTCAGCTTGTAGTATGGCGTTCGTGGTTCGATTGGCCTAGACTGTTTTCCAAAGATTGCTCCTGCCTGTATACGTGATGGTACTGTCTTCTCGCGTTATGAGCTAAACAATTTAGAGATAAAACTCTTTACATTCGATTATCATGAAAATAAATACCAGAGAACGGTCGTCTCAGTACCAATGTTATTAAACCCCATGTCCGTTTTGTGCCGGAGTTCTCCTTTAAAGACAATACATCAGTTAACTCGTGTGTGTAAAGAGTAAAACAACACATCAACAAATTCTTCTCTGTAAACATTAAGACAATACATCTTCTGACTCTTGTGTGTGTGTGTGTGTGTGTGCTGTAGATGTTGTTTTAATATCTCCAGTAATAATTCTAATTGCTTGATAATGAATGGTGTTTAAGGTTTCTAAAGGTGTTTTTGAAGATGAATTCTAAGCATTTTTGTTAACCTACATGATTGTAAAATTGTGTTCCTAAATCCTGATGTATTGTTATTGGATAATGATCACTGCTTGTTTGTTTGTTTGTTTTTTATTAATGACATGTCATGAACTAGAAACTTGCTAAATAACTTGAAACTAGTGTAATATCTACTGATCTTTATTTACATCAATCCTTGTGCTATTCCCATCATTAATACACACTCAATTTTTGTCATCCATAACTTCTTTAATTATTATTCCATTGTGACCATTATAACTATCAATAATATGTCAATTCAAATCACCACAGCAAATTAACGTTTCTTCTAAATGCACTAAGAGGTTGTCCAATGATACAGCAAACCGTCTTTTCCCTTGGTTATAAAAAAATATAAGTTTAATGTTGTTATTTCCAACCCAGATTTCTAGGAATATTAATTCCAAATCTGACCCTTTTGTTAACAAACTATATTTGATTCCTTCTTTTATAAATATAATAAGTCCTCCTTCCCTACCCTCTTCTCAATCTCTTCTTACATTCTTTCAAAATAAAATCTAGATGAGATTTAAGCAATGTTTCCTAAATACAAATTATGTCTGCTTGAGGCTGTGTATGTTAAATAATGTGAGACTAATTCTAAATAGCAGAAATAAGAAAAAAAAAAAAAAAAACTGTTTTGGATCAAGGTACCCCTACACATTTTTCCACTCAGCCGTGGTACCCCTAAACTGATGATTATTTGACATTATTTGATAATAATTATTTTTCTGTCATTTTTTCAAAGTAGTAAAGAAAACATAAAATGAAGCCCCTCGTCTTAGAATATATTTGCTTACATCAAAATAAATTAACAAAATTGTTAAAATGTAAAAATGTACATTCAATATAAAACTCTCATCAATCTATGAAAAAAATCCTGGGGCACCCCTGTAGTGACCCTGCGGTACCTCCAGGTGCCGCGGAACCCACTTTGAAAACCCCTGGTCTAGAGGCCGGTCGGCAGGTGGAGGGCTGAGGTCAGAGGCGGTGGTGGAGGGCAGATAGGTAAGGCTCCAGGCAGCGAGGGTTCTGTCTTGTAGGTTGGTTGATCTCCAGATTATTCAGGATCTGAGTAGCAGAAAACACAGACAAGGGGATTCAGAATCAGGAAACAGATCAGGGTTAAAGCAGCTCAAAGTTAGCCGGTACCGTTACTGGCAACATTCTGGCAGAGAAGTGTCCGCATCCTCCTCCATTTATACGCCTCCAAATGAGAAGATAGAGAACAGGTGTGCAGAAGTCGACTCATGCCCTCAGGAGGAAGGTCTCAGGCTCCCTCTGGTGGAGAAAAGTTGACAAACCTCTGGATCCCAACATAAACTATTAAAAAAATAAAATAAAATCGGAGATTCCAGGCTTTCGACATAATTGTTCAAATGTCATCCAGGTTTTATGAACCTGTTCTGCTGGTAGTTTTACAACATGCATCGCATGATTGATATAAATACAGACCAACTGCAGGCTTAAGAGCCTTGAAACTATCAGCCCACTTAGATCTTTCTACATACCGGTACATGCCAACACTTAGTGGACATCAAGGAGCTACATCGTGTTAAAAATATTGTTTCTGAAGTCCATTACTGTAAAAATGTCCACAGCTGTATATTGATTATTTATTCTCCAGATACACAGAATTTATATTGTAAAACACTTTACAATTGAGTATTATATTTGTTTATTTTCTTAACTCTGTAACTTATTATGTTATTTTAATACACTTTTCTAAGGTCCACATTGTGTAACCACTTTTGCTATAACCATTTGCTGCTGCAACACCACAATTTCCCCGTTGTGGGAGAATAAAGGGATTTTGTATTCTGGTCT